TATTATTATTATTGTATCATTCGTTACACTGTGGCTGTGTTGTCTGTGTAAAGCTGCTGTTGCACTGAAATTTCCTCACGGGATCAATAAAGTATCTATCTAAACAGCAAGCACAGGTGCCCATTACACTTGGAATGGTCTGTGTAATTAAACAAGACTGTGTATTTGTCATCTATGAGAAGACTGTCAAAACTCTTTGAAGTGTTCATCAATGTAATGCAGGTTCAATCCTGAAGCTTTCTTTTCGACTTCTGATGTAAAATCAAATGGCTAAAAAAAATCATGCGATGCTATAACAATGTTCCAACAGAAGAGGGTGCTTCAATCATTACATATTTTTATAGCCACGGTAATCTTTCATGAATTAATACAACTGACCCCCCCCCCACTGTGAGTAAAAGTACAAAAATAAAAGCAAAATTAACAACAACTTGTTGCTGGCATCCACCAGACATTTATAGGTAAAAATACATTAAAAAATGCACAGATTTTCACAGCTAGAAACAAAGGCAAAACTGAGAGTGTGCAATATTCTTCCTCCTAGAGATGTAGATTTAAAATATGAGCCCCCCTGTTTTGGAAAGAAACTCAGTCATACTAATCTCATCAGACAGCACTGTGCTTTCTGAAGCCAAAAATGTTAAGAATTTGGGTTTGTAAATTTGTGGTCTGGCAGGGGCACGATTTTAATGCTTCACAGAATTATTCAGGACACGGTGCCTTTCCGGACTGTTTGATTTTTATATTAGATTCGTATAGGAATTCCTCTTAAGAATTACATTTTAGGGCACCAACTAGTATGGCCACCATAAAAAAAAAAAAAAACTTTGTACAGCTTTCTGAAGGGTTGCACATTTGTTTCTCTTTTTGGACTGCTTATATCGCTGAATGTGCACAACCAAGGCTGTAACTTGCAACCCAAAAACTGACTGCAGTGCGCAGAGGGGTTTATCATTTTCTTTACTGGAGGAGGTGGAGTGCCAGAGGCCGTACCTGAACGTGAAGGAAATAGTGGTCCTTCATTTCGCGGCTCAGCGGGATGGAGGCCGTAAGAACTCCCTGCTGGTTTATTTCAAACGCATTTCCTTCGTCTCCACTGGTGATTACAAAGGAGAATGGGGGCCCGTTGTGAGAAGCGTCTTTATCTGTTACTAATAACTGCAGCACTCTGGCACCCACGGGTCTGTTCTCCTGCAAAAAACACAAGAAGGAAGATTCAGAAAACGCTTTCGGATACACATCAAGAACGGAGACGTACACCGCAACCTCGATAGGTTAAACATATAGTCACAATTATCAGTAGACATTTTAAGTACACAGCTCTTAAAAATACAAGCCCCCCCCCCAGGCCTTTAAGGCAAGATGCGTTTACCTGGATGATGACACTGTAGTTGGCTTGTGAGAAGACTGGCGGATTGTCGTTCACGTCTGACACGTCTATGTTGATGACTGCCGTGCTGGACTTGGGGGTATTTCCATTGTCCGAGGCGACCACCGTCAGCGTATATCCCGAGATCTACAAGTAAAACCCAGGTTATACGTCAGGTACTGAAACAAAGCCGGGACAGCATCCAAGAAGTGCTTCAACCTTTTACCCGACGATGCCCGAAAAGCAACAGACGGAGATCAAGGTACATGAAATGAACGCTGGGACAGGAGCTGGGGATCTGATCAGCTCGTTGGGAAAAGAGCCCTCTCACCTTCTCTCTGTCTAACTGTCGCTCGAGCTTGACCTCCCCTTTGACGGGATCGATGGCGAACGGGCTTCCCTGATTCCCGTTGACGATGGAATAGCGGACGTGGTTGTTGGAGGGCCCGTCGGCATCGTCTGCCAGGACCTGAAGGAACGACACAACCGTTTCCGCAATGAGCCGCGAGGAAAACCGGGACCTGCTTCAGCAGAACATCTCTTAACACGGGTGTTCCCGTGCACACAAAATACGGATTCTGTTCTCAAGGGAAAGAGAAGGGCCGAGAACTCAGCAGTGTGATTCAAAAACCGATATTAAAATCTAATTTCCCGACTCCTCATTTAGGAACTGCCTTGTTTAAAAAACGGGAATCGTGAATTACTCTATATTTAGAATAAACCTCAAGGGATTCCCCCCCCCAGCTTTGAGAGCAACATTTATTTTTTTTAAAACAATTCCGCTATGAAAAATATTTTAAGTAAACGATTACATTTTCAATTATGGTTATATATTAAACTTCTATTAAGCTCTGTAGAAAAAAATCAGCACATACGGCAATAACGGTTTTCCCCAGTTCAGCATCTTCGCTTATAACTGCAGAATAGACCTCCTGGTTGAAGACTGGACTGTTGTCGTTTATATCTGTCAAATTAATATTCACTGTTGCCACATCGCTAAGAGAAGGTGTGCCTCCATCGGTGGCCTCTACTGTGAGATAGTACTCGTGGGACATTTCATAATCCAGACTCTCAATCACAAAGATGTCACCTGCAGACGTGGAGAAAGAAAGAAAGCAAGCATAGGCCGGCAATTAAACCGAGACTTCAAACAGTTTATCACAGAGACTACCCCACCTGGCAGCAATTATCCTTTATGTCAATACATCTGCTACACTCATAATGGCAACTCCAAAACAGGCCGTTAAGAGAGCATACCTGTGTCGGAGTCGATGCTAAACTTCCCGTGTTCGTTGCCACTGATAATGGAGTAAGAGATTTCCGCGTTCACTTCAATGTCTCGGCTTGCGGCAAAAACTTGAAGGATCCGGGTTCCGACGGCGACGTCCTCGGAAACGGTGGCGACGTACTCCCGTTGCTCGAACACCGGGGGGTTGTCGTTGATGTCCAGCACAGACACGACCATGGTGCAGACCGCGGAGAGCCGGCGAGGGGAGCCCTGGTCCGTAGCCCGGGCCGTCAGCGTGTACACTGCCTGCACCTCCCTGTCCAGGGGCTTCTCCAGGCTGACGACGCCAGACTCCTCGTCCACCAAGAAGTAGCCATTGGCAGAATCGACAAATGAGTACAAGATATTGCTGTTTTGGCCTGGAAAACAAAAAAAGAAGGTGAGAAAAGATTATCAATACGTCTCGTTTCGCAGGGCGGGTAACACATTTAGATGTGCGGGAGTCTCCTAACTGATTATGTGCTATTCACTCAACACTGCTTCAGATAATCGTTTTGTATTCCAGATTCCTATAATGTTGTTTAAACCATTTTTCAACAGAAGTGCATGTTTATTCCTCTGTGCTGTTACAGCTCAGCTGTATTTTTCTTAACAACTTTGCTGGAATTTTACTAAGTGCATTGAGCCAAACCACTCCACAATCTTTACTCCTCATCAGTAAACAGCCACAAACAAATTCTGTTGACTGTATTTCACAGCAACTCCTAAATCGATGTACACGTTCAGGCCCAATGAGTTCAGCTGCAATTAGAAAAAAAAAACCATTTGGCTACGAACAGAGAAATAACCGTTTATAGTCATGGTTGGTCTATGAAGTGGTATCTGTGATAAGGAGGTTTACACGGGAGGAAAACTGTGGGAAGATAATGCTGTTGTCTAGAAAGAGGAATGTTCTCCATAATTTACTCTTATCACACATCACAAAACGTTATTTTGCCACTTCATTCTTTCCTTTGTAATCCCGGGGATAAGGTTCGGCTACAGTGGCGCCATCCAGACATTCACAAGTAGTGATGCAAGTCAGCCGTCACCCTTTTAGATTATCAAAGGAAAAAGTGGAGCGTCAACGTTTCATCACCTGGTATAAATATAACCAGCTACAAAGCTTACTAGCACGGCAGTGGCAAACCACTAACGCAGACAGGGAAACAGTAAGTTCCAGGTATGTTCATACACACACTTATCTATACTTCTAAACATGTCCAGTAGATTCGATTAAATATTATGTCGGACTTGAGCAAGAAATAATGAGATGACATAAAAAAAGACTCATGAAAAGAAAGGCTTGATCCTTCATTTTATATTCAGAATGTTTTTGGCCTTATAAAGTGCTGTGTATGTGTCAGAAACATTAATCTGTCACTGGGGTATGACAAGAAACAAATAACTAACACCCATGGACTGACTGGGTGCTGTGGGTGATGTTTATTTAACAGAGCGAGTTTTCAGCGGTAAATGTACCACAACGGAAAACACTGGCAGATGTCATTTTGTGACGCACATGATTCAAAGAATTTATCTCAGAGTCTGAGCTCAGGACCAGAAATATCAAAAACTCAGCGGAATTGCTAAAAACCAACAGATTTTTCTGCTTAGCACCTCATTAACTCTCTCATTGGGGAGTTCAGAGTGATTCATCATGCTAGTGTTTTAGCAATAATTAATGTGTTTTATCTGTTGGATTTCAGACTACTCCAGCGTACTCCTGCAACACAGGACTCAGGCACGGACAAAACGAATACCTACTGTGCTACTCTAACAGAGGTCCACTGTTACACGAAGAGGGTCAAAACAGTTAACTGAGGTCTGTTACAATGTACAACAGCATTGGAACTGGTGATATCCTTAGACCTGACAGTTTTTAAGATAACATCTAAAATGTATTGTTTACACTCCTTACCATTAATACTACTGTGACATTAAACTGGTTTGTTATATAACTGATAACATAAGGACTTTCTTATCTAATACACAAAATAAAAACAACTGCACAGAATGCACTATTCCCTGGAATTTAATTATTCATTCTACAGTAAATATTGGCATTTTTATTTGCACTGTAAATACCACTGATGATACACATGGCATGATTAATCTAATAATGCAACATTTAATTTGGCTCTTGGTAAAACTGCTCAGTGCAAACAATCTCATATCCCCTGATGACTGATTCACTGCATTTGTGAATGGGAATAAGAGAGAAGTTCAATAAAATAAAAAAAAGTATATTGCTGCTCCTTGAGAATGTAGATTTGCTTAGAATATTAGTTACTGACAAAGCAAGAAGAACTAATCCCTAACCAGTTAACTGTGAAGGCAAGAAATATACAACTAAATTGAGTTTTCTGCTTGGTGCATGCTGATTTAGGGCTTCAATAATGTCTATCAAACCATAGCACATCACACTGAAACATGCAATCAATTTTAAATTCCTCTGCGTTGTTTTTGCCGCTGTTGACACCTGCAGTTATTTAGCTGCATTTAGAAAAGATTTAACTACAGACACTGTAGCATATACAGCAAACTTGAGACTTAATTTTAATCACTGAGCCTACCATTACGATGTCACTCTTTTCTCATTAAACTTCCCTTTATATAAAATAACATACAAGCACGATCAATCTAAGTGTGATGTGATCACTATTTAATCTGATTGTGTGATCCGATCACATAATAATACACAATCACAATCAGACTGACCACTATTCCAATGATGGCAAGACAGGTGAAAAGAAACACATGGTGTACTCCAGTTAGTGCAAGAAGGCCAGCTATCTCTTTTTTACACTTCAAGAACAAAAGAGAATCAAGTGCCAAAAAGATACATTGAATAATTCTCTGCTGCTGTAATCACTGCTAAACAAGGTCAGACTCCTTACCCAGTTTAATCAGTCCAGATAAGGGCATCCAGACATATCTCAGAATTTAAGGAATGTCTTACTCTGGCATGCTGATGGAAATTAACCTCTTTAGTCTTTAACAGGAAAGACTATGGGGGGACATGTAACAGGTATTCAAAATCCTCATGGTTAGTGACAAAGGCAGCGAACAGATTCTTTCAGAATGAACTTTGAAACATAAACCAGATAACATAAGTGGGAAATGTGGAAGCATTCCTGATTTAAAACCGGACCCGAGAGGAACTTCTTAATGCAAAGAGATGCAAACAAACTACCCAGCCCATGTTGCTGAGGCCGACACCCTGTTCTGTTTTAGGAAATGACTGTATGAGATACCTGAATCAGGTATCAGCTATCTACCAAGGAAACTATATGGGCCTCCTCTCATCTGCAACCTTTCTTATGTTCTGGTGCTCAATAACCTTATCAGGAGATGCAGTCACGGACGGCGAGAAACAGAAATGTATTACCAACTTGGGAAAGACAGTGTAGTGCAGTGGTTAATACTCTGGACTGAGTGTGAGTTTCAAATCCCAGGTGGGGATACTGCTACATTACCCAGATTGCTCCAGCAAAGTCAACTGAATCAATGTGTCCCAAAACTTTTACTAAGAGGAAACAGATAAAAGTGCCAGTCAGGTAAATATTCATCTGCTGGTAAAGCTCATGGTGAAATGTCCTTCTCCCACCTAAAGAGCTCTTGTACTTCTGTTTAACACGTACGTGCACGTTCAACACTTACAGTACGTAGAACACACTTTGACACAAGGGGCTACACAAGACAGACAAAACAGGTACAGTACTCTTTCAGCAGGAACACCCTCTGACCTATGTCAGCATCTGTCGCCTGCAGCCGGGCGACAAACGTGTGCAGCTCTGTGTTTTCGAACACTGTGACGGAATAGGGGTCCGCGGTGAACTGCGGCGCGTTGTCATTCACATCTTCCACGGTCAGCACGACGTCGGCCTGGCAGAAGCGATCTCCCCCGTCCACGGCTTTCACAACCAGGTGGTAAACGTCCTCCTTCTCGCGATCGAGTGGGAGCAGTGTCCTGAGTTCACCTGAAAGAAGCATCAAGATGAACACTTCAGGCACGGATGCATATGAACACTGCTCCACACAGTTAGCGTCTTGAACGCACTCTCAGTAGTTATTTTAGCTTGATTTCACCTGTCAATGGACTAGCGGGAACTTTAAGGGGAAAAACCGAAACGTTTTGTTACAGCTTCACGTTTTTTTGGTGGTGGTGGTGGGGTGATGAAAGTCAAACTTTTCAATTCAGATCGAAGTTTAATTTAGTGTCACGCACAAAGCTCTCTGTAAATGTGGACAAGTTAATATTATTTCATCTTAATGGCTAAGACGCACAGAGGCACCCAAGTAATGACTGTTCAAAGAAATCCAGTACAGAATGGTTTGCGGCTAAGAGCAATTTTAAGCAGAAGACAGTTGCCCGGGGAATTGCATCCTTAAGAATTCATTAGACTGTTTCAGGAAAAAAAAACACTTTGACAGCCCTACAAGTAATAATCCTGCTTTTCTACATAGTACATCTCCTGATACATTAACCCCGTCGGAATATGCTTGTATTTTTTTAATTTAAGTTGGTTAACTCCTATATTCCTAGTCATGCTATATCGAAGTTTGATACTTTTACAGCAACCCATTGCACTACCCTGTTTTGAGTCTACATTTAAAAAATGGATATTGACCTGATCTGATATTGATACTGAACTGTGAATTTTCGATCGATAGCTCCTTTTACTTCTGCGGCACTGTTCATCCCCACCACTTCCTCCTGCAGAGAACACGGATCAGCAGATCGGCACCAGCAGCCCCACTGCACTGTGGCCAAACTGTTGCACCAGGTGAATGAAGGGGGGATTTCAAGGAAGGCAGACTGTACCTTTAAACCTTGTTAACAGTTCACACTTCTACTGCTAAGAGCAGTGCCAAGGGATATACAATGACCAAGTAGGCAGGACCTCAGTTTAATGTCTCATCTGAAAGACAGCAACTCTTCCAGCATAGCGTCCCTGCCCTCATACTGGGAGATTAGTTGGGACATCCTGTTTCAGAGGGAGGAGTGCCACCTTCCGTTTTAACTTCAACAACTTACACCACCACTTAAAAGTCTCCTTTCCTTGCCTTGCCTGGTTTTAAAAAAGCCTGACAAGTTGCTTTTGTTAACAATCCCTCTTGCTGAAAAGCTGGTGGGAACCGAGTGAAAACCTTAGCTTGCATCCTACAACGCGATGCTTGCAACTCAGGAATCGAGATCACAGAGGTTTGGTCAGCAGTTCCCAAATCAACAGCTTCAAATTACAGACCGTAGAGAGCAGCTGGAGTGAAATCCAGAGGGGAAGCAACTCTTCTTCAGAGTTTCAATTAACAGTTCCGCTCTGTCAAAGCGGGACATGTTGTAGGTGTAAGACTAAACAGAAGGTAAGAGTTGGCACTGATCTATTATAATTACACAGAATAGATGCCTTCAGCATACACGCAGCCTCTTTCTTTGCCAAAGTCTTATGAAGGATTATTGAAGACTGTGGGTAGATGCTTGTTCTGGTTGCATATGCTAAGCATATTATTTAAAAAGAAACTCCACACCGCAGCGCAAGGCTTGTATTGAGACAGCTCTGCTAGAATGTACTGAGCAAAATTGCTTTTCAAAATCCAAACATTTGTCATCCTGTAGGACCTTCACTATTTTAAATGTCGTAGTAAAGTATAAACTTTACTAATATTAATGTAACTCCCACTTTATTCTATAAAGCTATACTATCATTTTGTTAGCGCAACATGAGGTTAGCATCATGACAGCAGAAGGCCTAACTGACTTTCATAAAAGTCTATCAAATGGATTTTTAATCTGGATGGTAAAGACAGTCAGCTGCATATTACTGCAATCAGTATGCAGGCCATTTGAACCTTGTTCTCCAAGTGTGCATGCAAATGTTAGTTTCTTTGGAAAGTCATTTTATAACTTAATTTATAAATACACCAGCAAATCTGTCAACCTACAGGCAAACAAGAAAATTCATAAATTTTCCAAGCTGTTTAGTACATTTATAAATAAACCAGTACATTTACATAATTATTTCAGTCAATCTAAATAAAAATCAAGGACAGGAGATTAATCAAGCATTTTTCCAGTTTTCATTAGTTATTAATTAAGATGAAACCTAAAATCTGGACGAATCCACAACCTTCCAAGTGCACATTCTCCACATTCTTTGAATTTATTCCTACTCTTGATACAATGCAACAAAGTTAGTTTTAGCAATAAAAATTCAAGTACATTCAATTTTACATATAAATAAATGTAAAACTTTTTTTTGCGAAGTATCATCACTGGATGAAATAAAAACCACCTCTCCAAACAATCACTTTTTTTCAAAACACAAAATTCACTCCTAGTAAATAGCAGCAATTTGATGATTTTGAGAAAACATCTTACATAACTAAGGATAAAATCTTTTTAGTGTTCCTTTTCTATATTCAATAGCACACATTGGAGAAAAGCAGATGGAAACACTTTATGACGACAATATTTGGTGAAACAATACGCCACCAATTTCTATAAATATGCTTAGGCTACAGACATTACAGAGAAAGTGATGCACAAAGTTTTTGCTTTTGTCTGCACCAGCCATTAAGTTCCTGTTTCGCCTTAGATAATACCTGCTGCTGCATGATAGTGAATGTTAGGATTTACATTGAACAAAACAACTTACCAGTATCTACATCTATGCTGAACTTTTCTGATCCAGTCCCAAAGAGCTTATAAGAAATCACAGCATTTGAACGGATATCAGCATCCGTGGCAGAAACCTGAAGGATGAGCTTGCCTGAAGGTGCATCCTCTGGGACCGTCTCAGTGTACAGTGTCTGGAAAGTAACACAGGTTGTGGAAGTTAAAATGGACATACTATTAATATTAGAAGCATTTAACAAAACACATTTACGATTGTAATCACCGCAACATTTCAAATGTACATTTGCGGTGATGCAAAAGAAAGCATATCTTTCCAAATACTGTATATTGTGTGAGGAAATCTTTCACGAACAATGTAGGTTTAAATTGATCAAAACCTTTTGTCGATATTAGTAGTACGTAGCTGAGAGATTCATCCTCTTTGAATACTAGTAAAGCATGAGAAATTTATTCCCCCCCGAACCAGATTTCTAACCCTTGAGGAAAAGTGATGTAAATTCACATCTTTTCCATGTGAAAACCAGCAGAATGAATGTCATCCACAGATATTCCAACCTTTGGAAACAAACCTTTTCACAAACAGGGCTGTTGTCATTTGCATCAAGGACCTTGACCTCTACCACAGCCTTTGCCACAAATGTCCCATCAGTGGCTGTGATATTTAAGAGGTAATTGTCTTTCTCTTCTCTGTCCAGGGGCTTTCTTACAGAGACCTTCCATTCATTCTGAATGTGTTCAATAGCAAATTGTCCCAGAGGGTCTCCGCCTGAAAAGTCAATGGAAAAGTGTCATTCAAATTAATGCCACAATTTAGCTCATATGTAGGACCAGAGAAGCTTATAACACGACTGAGGTCCCTTTAAAGCAACAGAACCTGAAGGGCTGGGAGAAACTGTTCAACTGGTTCAGTTAATCCAACCAGCAGCTGTTTAGCTTGTTAAGAGCAGAGTTGGAATGAAAATCAATGTCAGAAGCCCCAGCCCTTCAGGACTGGGACTTGGCGCCCTTGAACTGCAGTATCAGATCTGCAAACATTGAGGACACCTATTTATTTGTTGTTTTGTGCTCTGCATTTCATCCGAAATAAGATGCAAATGTCCACTTCTCATCATAGGCCTGGATAACGAATTTGACATCATTCCAACCACACAAGCTAATTAGCTTCAGGGGTTGCATTTTCCTAGTTAATTAGAGTAATTAAGAGCACTATCCTCAAACGAAATAAACTCCAAGCCACTATGATCCATCTTTTGGATTGTTTCCAGTGTTAACATACGAGAAGCGATAAGCCTGGACCCCTCTATTTTATTTAAAACGTTTTCCTATCAAGAACCGCCCCTCCTAGCCCACTCGCACCTATTCCAAGTCTCCCTGACGCCTGGGTACAGAATCTCACGACAATGATTACCTGTAATGTAGTAGCTGACTTGTTGGTTGATTTCTTCCGAGTCGGCGTCGGTGGTGCTGAGGATGGCGATGACTCCGCTCGGTGGGGGGTCGTCCTCGCTGACAGTCCCCTTGTAGATCTCCGCGGTGAACCGTGGGGGATTGTCGTTCACGTCGGCGACAGTCACCTCTACCTTGGTGCTGGCGGTCAGCTGCACCTTCTCTCCTCGATCAGAAGCCACCACAGTCACAGAGTACTTGCTCTGCTTCTCATGGTCGAGCTCTTTGAGTGTCGTAATCCATCCGGTCTCACTGTTGATGGCAAACAGCTCCAGGATCTCCTCCGTTTCTTGGTTCTGATCCAGGCTGTACATAACCTGGCCATTAGTTCCAGAGTCCACATCATTTGCTCTCACTTGAATCACTTGAGTTCCCCCAGGTGAGTTCTCCACTACAAATGCCTTATATGGGTTGGACTCAAACTGAGGGCTATTATCATTGACATCCTTTACTTGAATATTTATTTCTACAGTGGACACAACTTCATTACCTCCGTGGTTACTCTGCGCTAGCAGTGTAAGCTGGTACCATTTTGTAGTTTCGTGATCAAGGTTCTTTTCGAGTTTCAGCCTCCCACTGTCCCTGTCAATGACAAAGATCTCACCTTGGTTACTCTCTGGAGTATTCCCTTTCGCAAGGCTATAAAACACAGGCTGTTCACTCTCTGCCTGAATGACATCAATCTCTGATCCAACAGCGAGGTTTTCAGAGATTGCAAATCTGTAGTGTGGCTCTACAAATTTAGGCACTGGCTCTTCAGGGGCAAGAATTCGGATATATACTGGGATGATAGATTCCCTTGGAGGGTTCCCAGCATCCTTTGCCCTCACATAAAAAGCATAGAGATCATTTTCAAGTCCAATTAAGCTTTCTTTGGTAACGATTATACCGCTGAAAGGATGAATTTCAAAATTTTCTTCTACGTTTTCCAGGTCTGCTTCAATGGTATAAGCAATATCAGCGTTGCTTCCTTCATCTGCATCTGATGCTGCAATTTTAACGACTGTAGTCCCCCGTGGGACATCCGATGCTACGTTGACCCTGTACTCCGCTGCTCTGAACTGTGGGGCATTGTCATTGACGTCGGTAAGAATGACATTAACAGTACAAAACCCCACCTTTCCACCTCCATCTTTTGCCATTAGACTGATTGCGATCACCTTCTCCGCTGTGTTCTCACGATCCAGGCTCTCAAGGGTGAAAATCTGCCCATCCTCATTGACAGAGAATTTGTCCCTGGCAAAGTCGTTCACAATGTAATAGGTGATGTGTCCATAAGTACCGGAATCCTCGTCTGTTGCCGTGGCTTCGGCAACCAGTGTTCCAACAGGGGAGTTCTCAGAAAGTTCCACCACGTAATCAATCTGATTGAAAGAAGGACTGTGGAAGTTTGCTCCAATAACCGTAACCCTGACCTGAGCCGAGCTCCGAAACACACCATCCGACACCGAGACGTTCAGGTTGTAAGAGGCCTCCATCTTCTGCTTCCGGTGGTTGGAAATGGCAATGACTCCGCTCTTCCTGTCTATGTCGAAATTCTGGTTCTCGTTTCCCGCGAGGATGGCATATTCGAGCTTCCCGGCGTCCGAGCTGTCGGCGTCCGACGCCTGCACGTGTGTTACGAAATGCCCGCGGGAGGCAAGCTGGCTGACAGTGGCCTCGTAAAGCTGCTGAGTGAAGACTGGAGGGTTATCATTCAGGTCGGTGATGTGCACTGTCACGGGTACATCGCTAGTTAGGGCGGGCACGCCACCGTCCACAGCCCTCACTAGCAGGTTGTGCTGTGCTCTTTTCTCGTGGTCCAACATTCTGGCTGTCACTATAACCCCACTCTCGCGATCTATGCTGAAGTAATCAGAGTTCTTTCCGTCTTCTAATAACTGGTACGAAACGACTTTGTTGCTACCAGAATCCGAGTCCGTAGCAAATACCTGCAGCACCGACGTGCCAATTACAGAGGCTTCTGAAAGCCTAACGTTGTACGACTTCTCTTTAAACGCGGGAGGGTTATCATTGACATCTTCCAAGATAACGTCCACAAAAACTTCAGAGTGCGCCCCAGTTAAAGAGTCCGTTGCTCGCACATTCAATTTGTAGGCAGGGTGTGTTTCGAAATCCAGCGGAGCAATTACGTGTATGACTCCGGTGTTGAAGTTGATCGAGAACTGCCTGAAAGGGTCTCCTTCTGTGATGCTGTACACTATGCGAGGCCCTTCCAAGCTGCTTGCCTGCACGTGTGCCACTGGAGAATGCCGCTGAATATTCTCCGGAATTTCAATATTGTAAAATGGTTTTTCAAACACCGGCATGGCCTTGTTAACTATTGTAATTGGTACTTCAACCACTGCAGAAAGGGCTGGTTCTCCTCCATCTTTGGCCACAACAGCAATGACGTACTCGGTGGCCAGAGATTCCTGCTCAAAGGGCTTCTTCAGTGTGATCTCACCCTCAGGACTTATCTGAAAATACTCGTGATGTTCTTTCAGGTGGTAGTGAACCTCGCCGTTTCTGCCGATATCTTCATCTACCGCCGTCACCTGCCTAATCACATGGCCGGCCTCAGCGTCCACCTGCACTAGAGCGTAGTACGGCAAATTAACGAACTTTGGTTTGTTGTCGTTCTCATCCTCCACCGTGACCTTCACGAGCATGTGAGCAAGTCCAGCCGACCTCTGCTCCTTGGTCACTTCCACAACTATCTCATAGACATCTTGCTCTTCACGGTCAAAGGGTATGCCCGTGGTGGACAGGACCCCAGAGGTACGGCCAATTTTAAACCTTCTGTCTGGATTTAGAATCGTATAAAATAGCGGCTCATTTATTTGGTGGCCTACTGACGCAATAACAGCAATACTTTTGGGCTCCAAGGAGTTCTCCTGAACTGAAGCAGTGTATGAGCTCTGTGTAAACTTGAAACCACTTTCCTTATTTTCTCTCACGTTTATTTTTACGGACGCCGTGCTTGCAAATTTTCCATCAGAGACTCTAACAGTGAGCTCATACCTGCTTCGCAAGTGGGAAGTGTTCTGAATAGAAATGACACCCACATTTGAGTCGATCTTAAATTTTTCTCCTATGTTGCCATCTGAGATGGAGAAGATCATTTTTGAATTCGGTCCAGAATCAGCATCTGTAGCGTTTAGTGCAATAACTTTCACTCCTTTGTACGTTGGAAGCAAAACAGATGTTTCATACATTTCTTTACTAAACAGTGGAGAGCAGTCATTAACATCAACAACCTGAATTGTAACATTGGCTGCGGTCTCAGCAAATAAGTAAGGGGCTCCCATATCATGGACCTGCACTGTGAAATGGAAAATACTATTCTGCTCATAATCCAGGGTCGTTACAAGGCGAATAGCTCCTGTGCTGGAATCAATAGCAAAATAGCTGTGGGCAGATGGTTCAACAATTTGATAAACCAGCATAGCATTTGTTTCTCTGTCAGCATCTATGGCTCGGATAACAAGCGGTGAGTTCTCTCTCGTTAAAACGACGCTGTTCACTGGAGCAGCTTCGCTTATCATCCCTAAGAATTCTGCTTGCGTGAAGACCGGAGCGTTGTCATTCTCATCTCGGAGATGAATCAAGAGGGTCGCATTGTTTGACAGCCCAGCCATGTTTGTGCCCTGAACTGTCAGCCTGTATGAAGGCACAGTCTCATAGTCAAGTGTTTTTTGCGTGATGACGATGCCGGAGTTCGGATTAATGTCAAATACACCGTCGAAATTCCCATCCTTGATTTCATAGAAAACAGATGACTGACTTGATGCTGAAACTAAGCCAACAAAGCTCCCGACCAGTGCACTTTCGCTGACTTCTGCAGAGAACTCCTTTTTAGCAAACCTGGGTTTTGCATTATCCGAGATGGTGACAGAAATGTGAACAGGTGTCACCACACTTAGCGGAGGATGGCCTTTATCTGTTGCTTTCACTGTGAGCTCAAATTGATCCTTACTGCTCTGATCAAGCTCCTTTGCTACTGTAATAGTGCCAAGAAGGGGATCGATAGCAAACGAATTTGCAACATTTCCTGTAAGAAAAAAAGAGCTATTACCGTATGAAAATCAATGCCTGTTTTTCTTTTGAATAACCATGCATCTCTACATTAATAGCGCCGTGTAATTTATGTGGCCTGATGCTTACAAATTAAATTACAACCATGAAGAGATTATGCACAAAGCCAAAACTAACAGCTTTCATTAGCATAATTCTAATTTCTGAGTGACAATTGCAACAGATTTACTCTTGCTATAATTGTGTAATTGCACAGAATTTAGTTCCTTATCGTTTCTTCAATACAGAAGTAATTAACAGCTTTTTACACTGCCGGGTCCTGAAACTAATCAACTACCACCCCCCTTCAGCTGTTTGGTATTCCAATCCTGTCAGCTTCGGAAAGACAGTTGTTCTCTAGCTGTTTTACTTCAATTAGCTTTAGTCATTTCAAATATCTAAAAAATGCGCATTCTATAAAACAGCACTGCCATCAACTATGCTATCCACCCCCTAATGCTGTCATTTATCTTAAACAACAATGGTGGGAAAATAAGATGCTATTTCCCATGAACTCCTACAGACAATTAGATGAAAAGGGACTACAGTGCTTCACTGCATTTTCTGACTCATACTTCACACTACATTTCCAATAACCCATTCATAACCGACGCATGTGGGACGCTAAACCCAGACGCCTTTTGGCTGACCTTTGTCACAAGTGACATTAGTGTAATTCTGTAATTCATGATGTACATATGCTTCTCAAACTCTTTAAAGGCTCTATAGAGGCACACGTTTTGTTTGATGAACTTCTGGCCAAATTCAAGACCAACCTGACTCTATGCTGTAAACAATCTCCGCGTTTTCTCCCTGGTCCCTGTCCAGCGCGGTGACCTGCAGCACTGCAGATCCCACTGCGGCTGATTCATACACACGGCCTTTGTATGGGGAGCTCGTAAACCAGGGAGCGTGGTCGTTGGCGTCTTCCACGTCGATGATAACTCTGACAAGGTTGCGCTTCACAGGAACGTCCTGATCCCGAACCTGAAGGCAAAAACACAAAGTTACAAAGCTCTAAGGGAGGGGATGGGGGAGGAGGGTCATCACGTCTAAAAAAGAGACGTAACATGCAACATTTCAAGTTTTTTTTTGTTACTGACTATTCTGTGTGCGTCAGTGCTACACATCAATAAACATAAAACAACAGAATTCTCCAGCAGAAAAGGAAAAACCAAAGACAAGCTCCGATGGATTTGAAAGGCAGAACTGAAAGAAGTACGAAAAGATCAATGTGCTCTCACAACAGAGATCCAGTTCAGTCAGGAAAGCTATGCTCAATTTAAACATCCAGTTGTTTAACAGAAGTGGGGAAGGAAAAAACATACTATTTCACAACTTACCATCACGGTTAGGACATGTTTGTGCATGGTCTCATGGTCCAGTTTCTCAGCAGTGTACAGTATGCCTGTTCCTGGATCCAGGCGAAACTTCTTCAGGCTGAAGGGATCTGTGCTGCTTTGAAGTGTGTAGATCAACTTGTTCTTCTCATCTTTGTCAGTTGCACTGATCTGCAAAATCTCTGTATCCGGCACTGTGTCCTCCGAAATGCTGACTTCATATTTTGGTTGGGAAAATTCCGGCCGATGGTTATTTGTATCAATTACTCTGATAAACACCTGTTAGGTAAAGAGACAAACATCTGAAACACTTCCTGTGATAGCTCACAATACCAATCAAAATGGGGAAAAAAACTAATGTACTGTGTATTGATTTATGGTCCTTTAAAGGGTAGGGGTATTTTAATTTACTATTTTTTTTTTAATTAAGGAAACAAAAAGACATGACTTATCAAGTGGAACCACTAACCACTAAACTAGTAGGCAGAATGCATCCGAAAAGGCAAATTTCAGAAGAGTTCAGATAAAGCAGAACTGTGAATGAACACTCTGCAACAACAGCTGTTCAACCTAATCAGTCAGGTTAAATGGATAAATACTGAATCAACACATCTGTCTTCGCAGGCAAGGAAAACAAAACAAAGGAATAAAAGACTTTGTGAAAAACTTGCGATCAATCTAATGTAATATCCACCAGCAAACTACATTGTGTTGCAGTGATATTATATACCTTTCCAGAGCATACAACCAACATCTAATAGTTCAAAAGTATTAAGAAAAAGATAGAGCTCCTAATGTGGAAAGACAGCAGGTACAAATTCCTTCAAATCCAGCACACATACAGCTAAGCTTGTTTCCCCGTGTTTGACACATAATCCCTGTGAATGAGATATGACTAAAGGTCAGGTAATACTCAATCCACAGCCAATCTAATCATATTCGCTATCTTGTACTGGACCGGATACCCAAAGCTCCGGGGGTGCACTGTCTCCCCCAGACTCCACTTGATGACCTGTGTGATCTCCTGGAGAAGGTCAAGCCTGTTCAATCCCAGAGAGTCCACATACTCCCAGTCAGGGAAAAAATAACCCACTATCCACGCAATGCCTCGTGGACGTAACCTTGTCAGGCAACAGCAGCAGCTGAAAACCTTGACAAACAGCATTAAGGCTTCATGACATGGCCAATCCAAGGAATGAGCTATTCAGATAGTCCTGCCAGGGAATTCCATAGAATAATCAGCCACAATGTCCGCTAGCTGTCAAATGCTGAATTTAAATTCATATTGCACATGAAACATTGCAAGAAAAGAAGGGCTTGGCTAAATGCAAGCTTATTTAAATGGAAATCAGATTTAACAAAACTTCACTATAACATTTAATAAAGTTTCATCTGCTTTTCCCTTTTATACTATAAAAAAAGTGATACTGAGTGACTTTCTTGAGTGATGAAGTGATGAAAAGAATGATCACAGACAATTGTATTATCAAAACTCGTTCAAAATGAACTATTTGTACTGAAAAAAATATGCATGCGATTACTTAAGCAAAGGAACGCAGATGATTAGAGGGAGAAGGGGAAAATAAACATTTAAATCAACACATTTTTTAAAATCTCTCTATTTAAAATTTTATGATTATTTAAAGGTGTTGACAACCCCTAAATGAGTTTCCACAGCTGACTAGGACTCGGAACAAAACACACCTGCTTCGAACAAGACAATAAGCATGATATGCTGAAGGCCCTTTCTTTTAGTGAGAGAGACATTTCTGAAATGGCAGAATTCAAAAGCTCACATTTTCATGTGTGAAACACACTAGCAATGTAAAATCAGGATTCAAGTGTAGATTCAAAGAAATGGGGTGCCGCTTACACCTACATTATCTGTTATTACATAAAGCTGTGTGAAGTCATGTCTTCTAAGTTTTATAAGTACAAGTTCTCCATCATTACTGAAAAGTAATCAAGGTTTGTATTGCCAAGTACAGCTACAAATCCGTATTAAAAAAATTGCAAAACCTTTTACAATACTACTGCACAAGACCACTTCCCATATTCTTATGAAAGACAAAAGTGCTTACAACGATACACGATAATGGAAGAATGATAACACCTCCTTTAAATGGCTTACAAGATAATACCCTTTCTCCTAAACCATTGTAAGTGCACTACAACACATGTACCCCACCTCATGACATTAATATCAAAAGAAGGATCTGCTACGAAGTCTATTTTCCATAAACATTTAATTAGCAATTCAATTACCTGGGTGCTGATAGATTTGGTTCCATCTGTTGCCTCTACTGTCAGGTTGTAATTTGATTTCTGTTCTGCATCAAGGGGTCTAGCAACAATGATGGTTCCACTGCCCTTGCCCACATCAAACCGGCTGTCATAGTTGCCACCTGGTTTATGTAATGATAATTGACAAAAGCTTAAGAGTCATTTCGTAGCATGTAGGTACAGAAAATACAGATGCGTCAATGCTCTGGGTGCAACTGCACCAGAAAATTCAATGTAAAAATAGTCAGGAAACCTTTAAGAGAAGTATACTATAGAAAAACGTATATAACACAAACTTTGCCAAACTTCATTAACCATTAACTATTTTTTTATGTGCATGCTTCTAAAAAAGAAAAAGAAATGCTCTTGAAGCACTTTAAAGATAGGATATAACCAAATTAGGCCATAACGTATAGCTAAAATAAATATTTACTTCTGCAAAAGCAGGTGTATGTTACATGCTGCATAGACATTACAGAGGAATGGAAAATAAGATTTATGCAGGAGTCAGTGCTTAAGTTTTCACCTTTTTTTTAGTTTGTGGAAAAGGTTAAGATACAGTGCACCTCGAAGGAGTACTACAAAGTGTTACAAAGCAACAGACAAGATCTCAAAAGATACAATGGCTGTAAATTATGAGATCTCAGCAGATACCTTCTGCTGTACAGTTCAGGTCACAAGCCATCTGAATGATGTAAAACACTTCTTTAGCCTGTTTCCCTCCTTGTACATCCCAAACACAATCCAAAAGAAAGGAAAGGAAATTGGAAAGCGGAAAAAAACACACAGAGAAACATGTCAGTCAAGGGCAGGCTTGTTAGGAAGAGGAAGAGAAGGCAAGTTATAACAGCAAAAGATATTAACTGCACAAGAAAAGTAACACATCATGCAAAGAGAGCAATAAAGAGGTCAAACCAGAGATCACCTCACATCTTGAGATTTATGAGGGATTCATGCCCTAATGTTTATCATAAAAGACAATCTACTAAGTAATGGGAATGTCCTCTCTTGCTCTGAATTGAAGAGAAAATCAGCACTCTGGCATAAGTAAACCGGGCCCCGTGCTTAGCGACTCCTTTCTTACCAGTGATGTCAAACCAAAGAGGAATGTCGGGGGGCTCATATGTTATAACGCCAACCATATGTGCGATGGGATCGCTCTCCATTACGGAGAACGAAAAAAACGGCTCATCGAAGGCCAGCGGGTCCGCGGACGGCGGGGGTTTGGAAATCCATTCGACATGCAGCCGGCAGGTGGAGGACTTCTGGGGGCGGCCGTTGTCCACAGCTTTAATCTGTAACGGTATAAGAGGCCTTTCACTCGGACATCGAACTGCGACCTTGTATCATTAATGACATGAGACACAATTACAGAGATATCAGGCATTAAAGGGCTCCCAGTCGCACATCTTGGGTCTAGGCTGGAATACAGAACAACGAACCAAAGAGAAGGAAATGTACAACATGCTTTTACCACTCCTGAGAAAGCATAATGAACACAGATATACAGCTTTCTAAGGTAACGTACCGTAAGAATGTCATAGTCTCCAGCTGAAGAAAACTTCTTGGAGGACACCAGCCCAGTTTTGGGCTCAATGAAGAACTTGCCCTGCTCGTCGCCTTCCTCGATGCTGTAGGATATTTCCGCGTTGGGGCCCTCGTCTTTATCGGCCGCGATCACCCTGTACACGGGTTCCCTCTGGACAGATCTCTCCCGGTCGGGCTTCTCGCGCTCTGGGAGTTTGATCTTGTAGATCTTCTCCAGGAACTGAGGTTTGTTGTCATTTTCATCCAACACTTTCACCACCACTCTCACCACAGCGGATTTTGGAGGAATGCCGTTATCAAGAATTGTGACCTGTGACGATGAGAAACAAAAGAGCGACAGTGAACATTACTATACCATTTTATTGCTTACACTTTAATAGCGCCTTTCTGGACACTCCACTCAAAGTGCTTTACAGGTCATGGGGACTCCCATTGTGAAAGAGGTTCAACTCCCCCGTACTTTTTAAAATTAGGGTAATAGTTGGACCTGTAAAAATCTTTTTATTGAAGCACCAGGGAAGAGGTCATAGAGGAACCCGAGGAACAGTTAAAACATCTAAGATCGCCAGCAAAAAAAAAAGTTACAACAAAAACTCTGAATTTGACTTCTGTGACACGAATGAGATAATCAAAAGCTGGAGAAGCGCTCCAAGCCGCTGAGCAGGAATCTGAATTTTATGGACACCGATGAGGTCTGCGTGTGCGGAGCTGCGGAGAGTGAGTGTCACGCAGTGCCTCTGAAACCTCTAGTGAAATATGGAGGTGGTTAACATGTGGTGTGGAGAGTTTGGAAAACCTGTGGGAATTAACAGAACTCTTGACAACAGAAAAGTAAGAATAAGTTCTCTAATGTCATGCTGATCCCTTCTGGCCTCACAGAGGTTTCCCCTCCTCAGCAAGGCAATGATCCGAGACACACGGCCAAAACAGAAAGGCACTATTTGCCAACAAAAGGAACAGCTGGAGCTCTAAAATTACTAGAACAGCCACCAAAATGTCCAGACATAAACTCCATTGAAGCCACCTGGGATTATACAGAAGCTGAAAAGAACAAAGAGGCTATTACAAACTTAGACCAATTCAAGACTGTTCTCCAAGAAATCCAGACAGAGATAACACAGGGAATAATTTAATAGTACACTAGTAGAATGCTCAGAAGACTACAAGCTTAGCAATATGCCAAAGAGAGACATACAACATTTTAAAAAATGCGGTGATATGATATAGTTTGGCTTGGTGCTGGCTGTGGTGTTTTGTTTATCCACAAACCAACACTTTTACATATGAGAATACATGTTTTCATAGTAGTGCGACTGTATATAAGAAATGTCATTTCACTTCCTATTTATCACACACCTTACAGTCGTTTTACTGTCAACTTTTTGATTCAGAGGAACTTTTTAATTCTTAAAAAAAAACACATCAATCACCTTTTAGTTCAATATGACTTACATTTACACAGTGTTCTATTTAATAGTATTGTACTTTGTTTAGCATGTAAATATTTTTTACCATGACTGCACATGTAAGCAGACAATCACTTATAAAACTATTAACCCATGCGAATACAGAAATCTAAAACCTCCTTACAGGCCACTGGAAGAAGTTTAAGATAACACATTTGGAAATGTCTTGACCCATCTCATCAGGAAGTTCAAAGCTAATGGAATGGTTGTTACACCACTAGGAACTGAATGTAAATAGTAATTTATGTAATCACCTAAGTACTTAGTAGTTGCTTTAGTACATTATATGCAAACGAGTGGTCAGTCAAAGGGCAGTAATTGCAAACTTTCATCAGGAAACAATGTCCCTGCGGTGACCATTCGAAGCCGGGCACATGACTCTGCCTGCCGGTGCCTGAACTCCTTGGCAACACAGACAGAAAAGACACTAAAAGAATCTACCAAACAGCAACTGAGCGACTCCCAAGTCCAATGGCACCACATGAATGAAACAACTGAGCTTTTTTTAACAACGTCAGAAGTAGCCTGATTAGTACAGAAAGGCAAAGTTCACACTGAAGAATAATGCATTCCCACATGTGAAAAACAGACATGCAATTAGTATAGCATTTTTAGAAAAAAGGGCAATTATGTTTTAAGTTATTTCTGCAACACTGAATACTGAAAGTGCACTTGCATGTTTATTTTTAAACTAAAACCAAATTTCACCAACATAGTAACAAGGTACAAACACAATTTATGAAGCAGTGCAGAAACAAAGGTAGTCTACAAACACTGTTATCATCATTTTTAGTAATCAATGGCATCAAGCTTCCAAAATGTGTGTAAATGGGTTCATTTTGAATTGTCTTCTGGTTTGTGCATCACTGTTAATATGGAACTGATCAATGTTTGGACAGACTCTGGAGGGAGTACTAACATACTATACAGACAGTAAATATTGCTGTTCATATTTAATGACATCACAGTAATGTAGCATCAAATTGTATTTTGTATATAATGCATTATTTATGACTTTTCTTTCTCTTCTTCCATCTCTTATTTTGAGCACACCACAACAAATTCCTAAGAACCCAAACGTTTTAGTTTGGTAACGAAGTTGTATTTGACTTTGATGCAGTATTATAATATTATATATAATATGCACTAATGTTGCACTTAAGCCCAGGCCCAAAGCAAGAAGGATGAATGACCACTGGACCAAGGAAAGGGTGTCAAAAACATTCGAATGACAAGCGAAATGTATACAGCCTCTCTTTTTTTGGGCTGTGGATGTAGTTGAGCATTTTTTCCACTTCCAAATTCCAAATGTCCTTTGGATCCATCTTATCAGCTGTTCAAAAGCCTTCTCAGACTAAGTGATACAAGATGCATTCTTTTCCTGCCTTTCTCGAGTCGCTGAAAGGATTTCTACTCAATATGAACACCCTTTTTTTTAAAGTCTAATAAAGCAATCATATTGCTTTTCCTTTATGTTCGATCCATCTAAGTTAATCCTACACTTACATTTAATTGTCTCGTCAATTCAAACACATTTCTGAATAATGTCAGAATATATCATGGTTTTTAAAGTGAAATACCATGCATACAAATGGTCCGTTGAACATAAAGCTAATAGTAAGTTACTGGTGCAGCACAACAAATCACTATATATATATTAAAAAAAAATGTTTTGTAAATGTCTTTATTTTTGTATTACTGTCTGTTACCTATTTCTGTCCCCCTGCACTGTAAGGCTTAAAAAGAGGGGGGGGGGAACGAAGAGAGAAATCAAGTAGCTTTTCGCACCATCTGGTCAGTATTTCTACAAACACAATTAGTCAGATAGCTCCACGCCATTTGGCACAGGCTGTGATTAACACCATTCTGTGGTGCTGTTTTGGAACAAACCACGACTGTTCCAGAGCTGCTAACACGGGACTAATTAAACATGACAGGGCAACTTCTAGACTACCATTCTCTTTCCAGGGGTGCAGTGGGGCGTCTCATATAAGAGTATAAGAGTGAAGACAGGCTTTTGTAACCAAAGGGAAGTGCGTGCATATTGATCCGACTACGTGTCTTTGAGAAAAATGCAGACCTTCAACAGGGAAACAACCATCCATTAGACAGCTCTGTCGCGATGGGAACAGGTACTGTAGCCAATGATCAGAAACATTAGTTAAACAGAGACAAGGGTTTTACTTCAATATCTCCAGAATACTTTGACAACCAAGGATCATAATCTAAAGGGAGACAAACGACTATTGTGGTGATTACAGATGCTTGCAAACTCTCAAATGTTATTTCTGACTAAATAATGGACTTGTTAGGAAGACGGTATTCATTTTATGATGAAAAAAGTTCTAGCGTGGAGGGAAAAAAATCTATAATGAGAAAATATGAAGTGTGCTCTAAATTGGCACAACAAATTTTATTCACATACTAATGTAGAAATTATTTCAGACTACATATTTTAAATTCATAATATATTTTCTAAATATTGGAATTTTACCAATGCTTTTCTCAATATTAAGTAAATATACAGTATATTAAGAGGCAGTAGAAAATGACTAATGTAACCAGTAGTATTTGTCCAATTTCTCATGCCTCTCAGCACATACTGTATATAATGGACTGTAACAACAGACAGACATGATAAGCACTACCTGACAGAGGCTTCTCCCAGAGGTAATTACTAACTGCATAACTGCAAATGGAGATATGACAGGAATTTTATACAAAGTATAGTCATTTCATATTGGAAATGGATTGTATTTCATGTATCATTACACTGAGACAAACTGCTCATTAAAATCTCAGACATCTCCAAAAATGAGGGAATCAGCTCCTCAGACTTATTGGGATATAAAATGAGCAAGAAGCTTTACGCACAGCAGTTCAGCATGCACGCATTATTCAGATGAGGTAGACTCTAGTGCTATTGTGATAACCTATCATTCTAATCTGCCATTTTATATGAAAATGTGCCGTTACCCATGCATTACAGCCTATGCATCTAACAGGGCCTTCAGTGTGAAATTTGAGGATGAACTCATTTGTCCACAGAGAATTCAATTCCACCTGACTGTGGAAATCCACCAGAAAGCAGTACAACCACATAGATATCTGATACTTCAGCCACATCTTTACTTAACCTGAACATACACAACAGTAGGTGTTGAAAAACGGCATTCAACAGGAAGCTGGGAATCAAATTAAACCCTGAGAATGTAAGCATCCTAGTCAGTGGGGAATTCTGCAAGCCTAGAAATGTTAACAGCACCTTTCATGATGTGGGCCAGATCTTGGTGCAGTACAACATTAAGCACACCACAGTCATGCACTACTACAGCCGCCAGCGCAAATCTGCAAATGCTACACAATAACACTGTTGAACACTGTGTGCACAAAGTGTCCCTGTTAGCATCACTTCAGGTGTGTAACTATCACGTCATGCTGGCACAGCCCCGCAGGAGCTGTGTGGATCCTCATAAGATCAGTAAGTAAATTTTAGTTCCAGAAGCCAAGCAAGAGAAACAACTTAACTCACTCAGCCAGCCAGCTGATTTTAAAAGTAACACTCTGACTGTAACTTTAATAAAAAGAACTGGAGTTCTGTTTATATTCTCTATTTATGCCCAAACTACAATGCACTCATCGTGTTGTGTCAGAACACACTGTAGGAAAGGAAGGACACCACTGCTCATCACTGCTGTAAACATGAGATCTCTGGCTGCATCATTAGGATGTGCAGTTTCCCCAGAAGGTGTACAGGAGGGGGTCCAGGCGGATGAGCACTTGGAAGCAGTAAACATTCCCAACCTCTCCTCTGTGTCGGAGATGGCCGTGAGATTGCCAGTCCAATACTCAGAGCTTACTGTCACTTCCCCATAGTTACTGGTTTTCATTAAGTAATAAACAATGCCATTTACCTCCCAGACAATTGCCTCACAAGAATACATTTGGTAGTGAGTGACTACTCGATTCAAGGATCTCATCCTGTTTCTTTAAAGAAAACAGGGTGTACGCTTCAGTAACATGGCTGGGTACCTCATTCCAGCCCCTCACAATCCTTCAATTAAACAGCTGTCTCCGGCTTTCGGCTTGAAATGCACTTTCACATAGTCTCTTCTAGTTCTGGCATTCACTGTTGATCCTACAGAAGTCCCCCTGATTAAGCGTCACGGCCTTTGAGAATTTCAGATCAGGTCCAGTTGCAATCGCCCGGGTGCGAGACTAAAAACGCTTAGTTCTGTAACCTGTCAGCGGAGGACATTCCTTTCCCTCCAGGAATGCATCTGGTTGCTGTCTGGACTGATTGCAGTGCAGCAATATCTTTATAGCAACATATTTACTGATAGTAATGTAATGTGCCGCACACTGTTATGACTGCCAAGGGAACAGGTTGTGAAGTTTTTATGCTAATATTTTATTTTCAACTTTTGTTGAATAATGGTGAGGATACAATGTCAAAATAATGTGCATGGCAATCTCCACACCAAAAGTTAGCTCTCATGTTAACAGAAGTGACATTCAGCATTTACCCCCATTCCTGAAACTCTTACCCTGAGCAAGTCCTGAGTCATAAGCTGTGAAAATCTAATAGAAATTGACTACACTTAAATAAGATGGTTTTACAATGTAAACTTAAAGAGACAATAAAACACTTGTTATTGAACAGTCAAATCTTACACAAGATACCATCATGATCGTGTTCTTAATTATCTTAAGTTAAAAAAAAACATCTTCAAATAACAGCCTACTATTATATTTTCTGAACATCAGTGGATAAAAATAAAGTTCAGAATCTCCATTTTGATGTACAGTACAAGAAAGTAAAAGTATACAAAAATAAGGCTTTGCCTTTGTTACAATACGACAAAAAAACACTGTGTTCCATCCTGGCATTCCAGAACTTAATTTTCCTTTATTTGGTAATATACTTTGCAATGTTAAACTTGTCCCAGTGGTTGCATAGCAACACACTCCCAGAAGGAAGTCGGAAATGGCGTTTTTGTGGACTCCATTTTGGTTCAACTTCCTGCCTTCGGCATGAGTACAATATAAAAAATGCACTTACAAAAACAAGTGCGAATCACCCGATCTTCCAGATTACAGGCAGTTTTACTCTAAGGAAGGCTAAAGTCTGCTGTCTTTTCCAAAGTTCAAGAAATTGACTTTACATTTACTCGAATTAAACATCAGGCGGCTGAAGGAAGGCTATCTAAGGTCTTTAACATATTTAAGAGAACAATGAAGGTTGACTTCAATTTAGCAAGGCTCTCGGATATATAAAGGAGTTTGTCATGTAATAGTGGCACAGCACCTGCATATTATGCATTGTGGGTTCTCTAAATAGTGCCTTTCTATTTCTAACTGCCTGAATTTCTTTTAAGTGCATCTTTTCTCCACATTTAAGCTCAAACATGAGCTTCGCCCTAGCAGTGTACTACAATTAAGCACAATGTTCATTTTCAGACTTATTTCAAATTCAAATTTCCTACCAAGGCATGTTGCCATTCTTCTTGGAATGCAAACTATATTTTCTTTCCCGAAAAAATGTGTGCCAGGGAATTGATTTAGGCAAGAAAATGCATAATTTGCAGAGTCAGTGTTTTGGTTCACTATATATTTGGCATTTTACTTTCAACTGTTTCAACTGTAACTTTTCAATGGTTTCAACTGTTTTCATAAATTCAGAAAATAAATTTCAGCCTGTTTAGAATAAGTGACATACTAAACACAAACATAATCTCAGGTTGACTCATCTGGCCACCAAATATCCTCTCCTGTTGTACAGCTCTTCTAATACAAGGACTTAAAAGTTCTCCAAAACTTCTCCAAAAATTTGGCAATGTGCTTTATACATTGAAAATCACTGGTAATTCCTGGAAGGAGGCTAATGTTAGTTTAAACAGATTTTCAAATATTCCTCCCTAGAAACATATTTTACATAGGCTTTAAAAAGTAAATGCAAGACTAGATTGCTTGTATACATTTTGCACTTCTTTAGATAACCAGTCATTTCTAAAAGGGAAACCAATGTTTTCTAACCACAGTTTAGAGGCCTGCAGCACATTTTGTTGATTGTGTATTAAGCTGGTCGGTAGTATGATATATAATATTTTGCATTATTAGTGTATTAAAACAGTATATGCTTGCATTGAGCAAACTGAAGTTATAAATACAGTTATACAGGAAATACAAGAAATTAAAATTCACGTCTGCACAAATAATATAAGAAAATAACATGCTTCATAGTCCTTTTCAAAACTTTTAAAACAGATAGTTAATTGGACCATGAAGATGCATGTTTCTTACAACAATAAAAGTATTTAACAAGCAGTCAAAATGTAATTTAACCTCACCATTACATCCCCTCTCCTGGAAAATTTCCCAAAAAGGTCAATTGTCAGATCGATAATTAAGAAAAAAACAACAATATACTATACTCCCACGTTTCCTTCTCAAAAATCAAGAATCTAAACATTTCCTCCTCAAGAATCAAAATCCCTGAATTGTTCCTTTACTCTCTCTGAATCAACTTTAAACCCGTTGAGTGTCCGGCTCCTGGGTATATAACCCAAACAACTAAATACCATGATTTCAATCAGAGAAGTGAGGATGAAACATTCATAAAACATTCAATATAAACAAAAAGAGTTATCCAGGAATCCCTGAAATCTACAGAAAACTGACCATAAAGTGGGCAAGCTTTAGCACAAGAACTAAAAAGGACCTTACTTCAAGAATATGTTCCGCTTGCTGCTCTCGATCCAGTTTCCTTGAAGTAGTTGTTACCAGACCTGATGAAAGAAATGGTAAAAGCGATTAAAACATTTTACAGCAGACTTCATCACAAAAATGCAATATGGTTTTCTAGATGATTTTTTTATTTTTTAAGATTAACATTACACTTCAACCATCGCAGTACCGAACAGCAGAGCCTTTTCTTTTTACGCAGGCTTCCTGATCATCCCTGCTCATTGGCCTGACCACCACTTACACTAAAAAATAAATTACTACATCAGAACTGATCGTGACGGTTTTAAGCCTTTTCCTTCTTTAAACTACCACTTCTAAAATCACAGATGAGGGGATAAATATGTAAAAAACTGTTCAGTTAGGACACAGATTTAAATGTTCCTAGAGGCAGTGGTATTTCACACCATTCCTAATTGTTTCTTTTAAGATAGTTGTGAAAAAGGCATCAAATGGCCTTTTAAATTGCCTTTCCTTTGATCTTCTCGTGGATTTTCTACTCACTCAGCCAGTCTCTCATTATTAGATGCTAAATACCGCAGGAACTTGTTAACAGCACTCAGATGCAACAGAAAGATATTGCTTTCAGGTTTGCTCCAAGCTGAGCAAATGTTAAGTAAGGAGGTGCTGTGATTTTAAGCAAAAGTCTGCAGCCTTCAAAGTTAAATAAAAACAATGCTGCAAAATGTGGCGCAGAGATCAGGGCTCTGGTACAAACACTGTACCATAAACGTGCACAAATATGAATCACTTTGGATAAATGTGTCTGCCAAATCAATAACGTCAACAATAACACTTCCAGCGAATGTAGTAGTTATAAACCAAGAAGACAAGTCAAACAAAAAGAGCTAAATGAGAGCAGTACCGATTTAAAACAGCACATGAAAAGTCAGTGAAGCGCCTTCAAAACTGTATGTTGGAGTTAAACATACTTAACCAAACTTGTTTAAGAATGTGCATTTATTCCTGAAAATGTTATTCATCTTTTTTTTTAGAAGAGCAAGCTACACCATGTATACCGAGCATGTTGCTGCCACTTTAAATTTAAATTAAAAGTTATTATTTTCACTCCCAGTTTAATTGTAACCTTGCAAGAAGAGAATGCAGAATCGATGTGCCAGCCCTGACCGCATAAGAAATCTTTTACTACCACACTGCATCTGATTAGCATAAAAAAAGGATTTCCGAAACCCAAGCCGATGGGCACATATGCTAAGACAAGAATAGCAAGCCACAACTTACAACTTTGTAAAAATAGTACTGCGATTTATTCCGCTGAAAATAAATGGCTTATTTTTTTCTGGAAGTTCCACATACGCTTTATAAATACAACCCCAACTAAAATGCACATTTTCATTTGCAAAAGCTGGAATACCATCGTAGATAAAACATGTTGACGAAGCTAGCCAAATACAATTACTAAGCAGGTTACAAAAAGGTGCAATATCATTAGGATTAAATACAAAATTAATTTGAAGTTCCATCATGTGCATTACATTTTGAATTACCATTTTATTCTAAAAGGTGAACCGATTTTAAAAGATTGTCTCGTGCTTAACTCCAAAATATTTCAAAATTACTGCTCTGTAAAGAACTCCGAAGCCCATTTTATTAAAACCTCCTTCAGCCACAAACAGATGCAGACATTTTTAAAAGAAAATGCACTTACATAATTTCTAAAAATCCTCCAACGTATGCAAATAATTAATTCTCTATATTAAAAACCTACTGTTAGATTTGCTTTAAATATTATACGCTGATAAAAGATAACACAGCATGATAGATTTTATTTGCTTTTACTGCTCAGGGCAAAAAACCCATGTGTTAAAGTGTGCTGTCTTTATTGCATTCATTTCAAAACATTTTTCAACATCTAACAAGAGGCATGTAGTCACGGTAACAGGAGACAAAGAAAGCTTATTACACAGTCCCCGGGGACTGCCCAGAAAACACACAAACTCACAGCACTCCCGAGTTTCACAGACCCAGCTGTTTGCAAAATACTAAGGATTACTGATCTCTGCAACTTTTGTTGGAACGGTCAAAAGTTAACGGCTCTGTGAGAGGTATACTGTACCTCTCAGCCCCTAAATTTTATCTGCCAGAACTGAAGACGGTTGCTTAAACTAGTCTTGGTGCCTTCGGCTAGAAATGTGCAAGGTTCCTTGCTTATCCTTTGATGTTAGGGTCTCAGGATAATTAAACACTTTCAAGAACACACAGCATTTGTATATGCATTATATATATATACAGCATAATGATGCATTCAAGCATACTAACACAAAAGCACAGTGATTTTTGCAGGTTGCATCCACATACTCTCGTCAAACCTGTTATATACTGTGTAGGCAGCCGCCCCCCACTCCCACGACATATTATCAGCTGTAAGTCAGCTTCATTATGGGCTAACAGAATAAAGATGCAAATACAGAATTATCCTGGCACTTAACTAACTGTTGCAAAACTGTTGCCACCACACTTTCTTCTGGTTCAAGAATAAACGTGTGACATGTAACAGAGTAAGCACTTTCCAGCTCAGCTTTCACATTTATAAAGAAAGACCCAACGCATTCATTCAAAATTGTTAACAGAAAAGCTTACATTTTGAAAGCACCGAGCTGATGATTGCAAAAGTTGCCTGTTTTAGCAAGTTATAGAATTAGTAAGGGTTAAGCTACTAGCCTCTCCATGTGCAAATGTACAGGACCTGACAGATCTCACAGTGTAGAACCACCCCCCCATTCAATTAAACACCTTAAACTTTTTGTACAAAATTTGCACAGAAGGGGCTGTTGTTTAAACTATACAAACTAGCACGGCACACTTCCAAAAATATTGACTCTCGTGGTAAATACAGCGTATTGACATCACCTATAAATATTCCAACTTGAACCCATAACTGACTCATCAGGTGGCTCTCCTAGTCTTTAAAACAAGATCAGTCTATTTTCTAAAATTACAGTTTTTTACAAAACCATTTTTCAATGTAGAATTATACAAACGACATACAGATGACATCAACTGCAAAGAATATATGGATATGCCAAAAATAGTCAAAGATGGTCAACATCTCATGAAGTACAAAAACTTACAGACATAAAAAAGAAACAGCACAGCTTACTGCAAACTGTTCTAATCCAAACATATTATTTTAGCAGGAAGGAATTCCACACATCAGACAGAACCCGGCATTCCATCCATCTTAAATATAGGGAATGGGTTCCTTTAGGCCACACTCTACAGCTTCCATGGAAATAAATTCAGACAGTTCATTCTACTCTCTTTGCTGCAAACTTTGCATTTCATTCCTCTTCCCAAAATGAAGCATTGCAGAATCATGGATACTCTCGAGCAGTTTTCAGTGCTTTCCACTGTTTACTGCCAAAAGAACAAAGGCATAAAGGAAACCGGAGCATTAATGAAAACCCATTAACCCCCAGCTGTGTGATTAACAGAGGAGAACAGACGGATATCCATATAAGAAAATTGGCAATCAATATTAAAAGCAAAATCTCAGTGTATTCATACAATAAAATGATTCTTTGTAGGTTTATGTTGGATAAAAATAAAACACAATATTGAACCAAGAAGAAAGCAATGGAAGAAAAAATAGGATTTGCAATTACTTCTGTAAGTAATGAAGTGAATCGAAAGAAAGTAAGAAAAAGATTGCATATTAAACACTGCAATTTTAAAGTGTTTTAATAAACTCTAAAAACAATGAAGCTGACATCTTAAAACATGCTGCCAGACTGATCTTTTTAGAAAGATGATCATGCACACATGAAAGTCGTGGAGGTTTCTAAATTACAAAGTGGTTTAAACAGCACAGTCACAAGCAACACACACACACAGTATACATAAGTCTATTACAAAAAAGCATCACATAAATGCAGATTCACTTAAATTGAATTCTGGAAAATGTAGGCAGATTAATCAAATTGTGCAAAGAACTCAACACGCAGCTTCATTAAAATGTACATCTGCATCCCAGTGCTTAATAAGGGGTCAATTTAAAGGAAACCACTAAATCCTTCTGGATTTGGCCTCTTTTCTTTTGCTACACTGAAACATTGCACAGTAGATTAAATAGTGCAATAATTCAAAACCACACTTAAGTCTGCATTCCTCAACTGAAATACTCAACTATAACCATATTATTAGAAAACTACTACAGTATATCTTTATGCACGTAATAGCAATTCTCTTGTTAAATGTAAAAAAAAAAGGCAAGGTGTGATCTGACACTTGTGTTTTACAACAGATGTATTTAAATCCATTTAATCAGAAACAACAGAAGAGCAGCCTCACCCCATGAGTTTTCTTAACCTTCGTTTGGGATGGCTGTGGTTCACTGAAAACTGCAGGAAACTGCAGGAAGTTGTTGGAGGTAGTATCAATTTCCTATTTGGGTTTCCGAGCTCTCCGCGGGGTCTTTGAAAACATGCTGACATTGTTCTGAACACAGAAGGCGTTGCTGAAAACTGATATGAGGAAGCAGGATGAGGATGATTTGCTGTTAAACCCACTGGCTATGAGCATTTCACTGCTTTTCATGTTACTCCAGGGATTAGTGATGCATATAAACCTGACAGAGAAATCCATACTCGCATGAATTGCTGAGATATTTCTTTTCAATTTACTACAGTGACTAGGTCCCTGCTGCAAGCATATTACAGGTTCACACTTCATTTTCATAGCCATGAACCTGGGAGAGCTACTCTCTTCTTTCAATTTGGTCTTTACTTTTAAAATGCCCCACTTCTAGGGGAGACACAATAGAGTCTGTTTTCATACACTGGTACATTAAAGTTTAATACCCGAGTCCAACTACAGAGCATAAAACCAAATAGTCTTTTGCCAATTACAACACTGTACAGTAAGAGAACGCTGTGGCCACTTAACTCTGAGCTACACTCTCTACTGGGATGCACTAAGGCATCCAACAAAACTCCTTTTTACAGACTGCACACAACTCCGCCACAAGCGAAAAAACAACAACTAAAAGACCCCCATGTAATTGCAAAGGTCAACGTCCCCAGAT